CCAGGGGAAGGCTGGGTGTCAGTTGGTGGAAGGTCATTTCTTTCCTGGGATCACACTTACCACCAGAGCCAGAAGGACCCATATGGAGTCAGACCCAACGGAAAGTCTTCAGCTCCGTGACAGAAGGATTCTCTGGGTCACATTTTATCCCCTATTATCCAAGAACAGTCTTCTCAGAAGCAGTACTTCATCCAGCACTGAACTTCTACTGATGAATGGTAAGGTAGAAAGAGAATAGTAAAGAAATATTAATTCTTGTGCTCTATGAAGACTGCCCTAAAATCTCTCAAACTTTTAGAATCTACCTGGCATTGCTATTATCGCCATTGATCTATGATTTTCCTTTTAACTGATTGCTTTTGGCACTCTGCCTCTCATCGTCACTTTTCAACATTCTGCTTTTAACAGATCTCATAACAAAATAGCTAATTTAACAATTCATTAGGTTTGTAATTGAACAACACCAACAAACAGCTAGTTCTATTGACTTCTGATTTGATTTGATTATTCAGTAGATGGACATTTATTGTCAACAAGTGCAAAAACTCAAAAGTGTCAAATTTCTCAATGAGATTAATTATTGACCAGTTTGGGTTGTCTTTTTTTTTTTTTTTTTAAGAGTCAACAGTTGGGAGATTTTTTTTCCTACTTCTTAATAAGACAGCAGATATTTTCACATTTAAAAGTGTCAGAAACTCAATATATGGTGCTGGATGAAGTCTGAACTCCTTGCTGTGCTGTTCAGGTGGGCCCAGCCTGGGCTGTTAACACTCCTGTCCACTCTCCACTTTCCCACTCCCCCACTCTCACCTCCTCCATGGTGGTCTTAGATTCTGTGAATTACTTATTCATTCCAGAGACCCTTTGAGGCACTTTTAAAATACAGGTTTAGCATCTATAGCTGAAGTCAAAGTAAAAGCGACTTAACTTAGAGAGTTGTTTCTGTTTCAGCTTACAGTGCAGATGGTAGCACTTTGGTCCAAGGGACTGGAGATCTTTCTAGCTTGGTGTTCTATTCTCCTAAACATGCAGCTTGCTTCTCATGGTGGGTGACTCTGTTCCAGGGCTCAGCAGTAGCACATGGGTGTTGGATGTGGCAATCCTGCTTCCGATCTGTGGATCAGAACCCAGTCCTGGGGTCATCCCCATTGCAGGGGAGGCTGGGATGTTTGTCTCAGCCCAGCAGCCAGTGGCCACAAAGCAAAGAATGGATCTAGAGAGGTCAAGGATGAATCTTTGCCATCCCAGCTCTGTGTCAGTTACAGGTAGTCCCTGGGTTATAGACCAGATAGATTCTGGAGGATTATTCTTCAGTTGAGTTTGTACATAAGTTGGAACATGTACATCTACCTGTTCCCCCAAAGCAGCCTTGATTTGCATTTCTCTGATGATTAAAGATCATGGTGAGCATTTCTCCATGTGTTTGCTAGCCATTCGTCTGTCCTCTTCAGAGAAGTTTCTGTTCAAGTCTCTTGCCCACAAAGTGATGGGGTTGTTTGCTCTTTTCTCATTGGTTAATTTGAGTTCTCTGTAGATTCTAATTATTAGATCTATGATGGACTCATAACATGCAAAAATCTTCTCCCATTCTGAAGGCTGTCTGTTTGCTTTGGTTGTTGTTGGAACACATTCTTCTTAGTAAAGTATCTCAAAAATGGAGAAAAAAGTATCCAATGTGCTCAATATTATTATGAAACCAATGTATAAACACACACTCATAGGAGTGATAAAACACAAATATAGGGCAGCGCCTGTGGCTCAGTGGGTAAGGCGCCAGCCCTGTATACTGAGGGTGGTGGGTTCAAACCCAGCCCCGGCCAAACTGCCACAAAAAATAGCTGGGCATTGTGGCAGGCGCCTGTAGTCCCAGCTACTCGGGAGGCTGAGGCAAGAGAATTGCCTAAGCCCCAGAGCTGGAGGTTGCTGTGAGCTGTGATGGCATGGCACTCTACCAAAGGTGACAAAGTGGGACTCTGTCTCTAAAAAAAAAAATATATATATATATATATATAGTCTAGTAAGGGGAAGGGGGGAGGGCGATTGGTGAGGGGGTGGCATTTGGTGGGATCTCACCTAATGTGCACAATGCAAGGGATATTTCAAAATATCTCTGAGTAAATTTTAAATGTCTTACCACAAAAAATAAGTAAGGGAGCTGATGGCTGCGCTAAATGGTTTGATTTAAGCATTCTCCATTGTATATCATCATCACATGGTACCCCATAAATGTATCCAGTTATGATCTCAATTAAAAATGAGTAAAAATATTTTCAAACATTTGCCTGTTCCTTGTAATAGCCTCTGTTCATAAGAGTGAGTTGTAGATCAGTCTGTGTTTGTAACTCGGGGAATCACTGTGATAGCCCCCGTCGGTAAATGTGAGTCATACAACAATCTACATTTGTAACTCAGGGACTCACTGTAATAGCCTCTGTGTGTAAGTGCGAGTTGGACGTCAGTCTGTGTTTGTAACTCGGGGACTCACAGTGATGGCCTCCGTTCGTAAATGTGAGTCGTACATATGTTGGACGTTTCTAACTTGGGAACCGCCTGTACCGTGCTAAGTGCTGGGAGTACAGAGATGAGTAAGGACTGAATTTGGAGGAGAACTCAGTTTAGCATGAGGACGTTGGCTCTATCCCTGTGTTCTGAACAGACATGAATATGTAGATGCATGCTTCTCGTCCATTCTGTAGAAACAGAATTTGGTCTGTATATATTGTGTGTGATTTTCTGTCCTTTTGGATTTGATGCCCCCTCCCCTGTGATTCTTTTTTCTTCCCATTTTCCATGGGAAGAAATTCTACCATTCTGCAAAGGCTGGCCCTAGTGCCCCCATCTCTGTGAAGACTTGATTGTTCCTTCCCGGGATGGTTAGGTGATCCTGGTGCTTCCATTGTGCTTAAACATTGTATTTTCTTTCCTCTCTTGCTGTTAAGTGCCTGGAGGCATAGATAGCCTGCACGTATTTTATTTATTTCACATCCCTGGCACCTTGGTGTAGTGCTGAGTAAATGAAGGTGCTCAATAAGTGTTTGCCACATCGAATAAGGTACAGCTTGGCATCATTTTATGGATTCTTGAATGACAAGGTGGGTGGAATTGCTAACGAACGAGGGAATCTCTTTCACATTGTGTATAAAAATATCACAGTTAATTAAGAAGTTAAGTGACTTCCAAATCCAAATTCAGAATCATAGAAGCTTTAGATCATTTCCCTAGTCTTTGCATCTCCTTTGAATTTTGAGTTCATTTTTATTCTTTTTTTCTATTCATTTATTCTAGTAAACACATGGTGCTTGAGGTGATAAAGGGGCCTTCAGAAAAAGCTTGAATTTGAATTATGTGTTCTATTATTTACCGTATGTCTTGTTAAGGTTCCTTTTTTAAAAATCAGGTTTAATTTATCTTGTGTGGTTCAGAAAATTTTGAAGTTTCTTTCTTTATGGGACTTCCCCCCGCCTTTGTTAGATATATGCATAGATCATGAATACATTTATGCCTTTGTGGGATTCAATGTGTTGATTTTGGGGTACAAATTGGAGTACTTACATCCACCTAATCAAAATAGCTTTCACCTCATTTACTTAATCACTGTGTTAAGACATTTGTGTTTTATACGTGATAGACTTGATCTGTACCCTTGCAATAGGCTCCATAGGTGCGGTCCCACCGTTTACCCTCCATTAAAATGCCCCCTCCACTCCCATCCCTATCCCCTTCCCTCCTTCATCCTGGGGCTATAGTTGTGATTCATCTTTTGCCTGAAAGTGTGAGTTGTTCCCAGGACTTTAAGAGTCAATTTGGAATGTAATTCAGAAGTTTCGTTTTATCCTAGGTTTCTAATTTAATCACTAGAGTATCCTTATTGTGCATTTATAGTCTAGGATTTTCCTTTTAGACCTCCAAACACACAGAGGGCTAATTAGTATATGATAAAGCCATAGAATTTTCACAGACTGTGTACGTTACGTCAATTACAGGCTGTCACTTACCCCGTTGCTTACATTACTGAGAAACAAAACATAGAAGTGTTTCGGGCCTCACTTACTTCATGGGACAAGTAAAAAAAAAATTAAACTAACACAGGAGTGCCTTTTAGTCCTAATAGCCTCTTAGACTGTTGATAATGATCCAGAACAGTTACTGCCAATGATAGGTTTTTAGAAAATACTGGTAAAGTGTTAACAACAAATAGGATTTGGCTTGTTCCTGGGCCTAATGGGTTTAAGAGTGATCTTAATCTGTGACTTGAAATCATTAATATAACCTTCCTAAGTGGTAACAGTATATGGGGTAATTTGGGCATGGGCACAAATCTACTCTGATGGACTATGGGTTTTTGAATCAGCGTGAATTAACATGGTCCATATACAAATTAATAGTCGAATCCCCACATACCCATCTTAATGATTCATTGTTTTAGGTGTGACACACACAAAATCTCTTCCAAACACTGCTAAGATTGGATTTTCCCTAAAAACAACTGGGTCTTTAGGGAAAGGTAGAAATAATAGCTTCCAGGGAGACTTTTAAGCTCTCCAACCTGGACCGTAGCCTTCTGTAGTTTATTGTGTCTAAATCATAGGTGATATATTACCTAATTAATTCGGTCTGACTCTGATCAAATTCGCCTACTAGAGTTATGTTAATGCCATATGCTCTAACGTAGAAAAGGAATATTTGGCAGTGAACCACCAAACAAGTGTGCAGTGAGTCAGGTCCTGAGGCTACCCCGGCAATCCTTCTTAACGATTCCTGTGAAATACCTACTGCAGGACAGAGCATCTGACAACGTGGAGGGTGTGTCTGTAGTCCTAGGAATCCACAGTGAATTTCAGTCTAGACTCAGTCATTTTTCAGGGTCAGGGGAAGAGGGAGGAAGGAGCAAATCAGATATTCCCCAAACGTTCCAGGGGTAGCACGGAATCCAGGATGCTGCTGCCAGCCTGTGCATTTGTGATGGAGGCAGAATAGGCGAGCAGCCGCGGGAACAGAAGCAGCAGCCTTGTCAGAAGCAGTCACATAAACAGCAGCAGGAACAGGCCTCCTCTTTTCAAAAGCAGGATACTGCAGGGTCGTGAAATGCAAGATTCTCTGATGTTTCACAATCTCCCGAGTTGAGAATGGCTACTGTAAAGACGCTGCCAAGAAACTCTGGGGATCTGGACAGCCACCACTGTGCATTAGCAATAGTTATTACTTTAGGAAAATTCAGGCTACTTTCTGTAGATTTTTGCAAACAGGCAACCCCCTGAAGACGATCTCAGATTACCCGGCAGCAACAAGAACACAACAACAACAGGACAGACAGAACAAAGTTTTGGCATGCTTGGAGGAGGAAGGGGTTTGTTCCAGAAACTACCTGGGAGGCAGAAGCTAACTGGTGATGTGCCAGTGACTCTTACCTGGGAGCAGAAGGTGGGACGACATGGACAGTGGCTGTGACACGGAGGCAAGGCACAGTGCAGCTTGGTGAAGCCACAGGCTGACTGCATCCTGCCACCTCTTCATGCAGTGCTGTGGGTTGGTACATCGCCGGCGAGTACGGGTGTCCTATGTAAGTTTCTATGGCTGGGGACTTGCAGCTGGGACCTGAAACATACTGTGGGTGTCTGTCTGATGCATGTCGTTTCTCTCAGATGTTTTTAATCCTTGTACTGAACCAACTAGACGATCACTTGTTTGTACCCCGAGTTTTCAAGGCACCTGAGCTCTATGAGAGTCTGAGATTTTTTTTGGTTTTTTCCCCTCTCTCTCCTGGAGATGTTTTCCTCTCTATGTTTTGTGCCGTGTTACTTTGCTAAGGTTGGAAATAACCTTCCCAGGGATTGGTCTGGGAAGTCCATTGTCTCCGAGATCTGTCTCGGTTCAAACCAGTTGGTATTCTCTTTGACCTAGAGTAGTTCCTGTTTTTGTATTTGGATTATGGCACGGGGAGGGGTGGGTGGTGGGAAGAAAAGGAATACTACAGAGTTTGTCAAATTAAAGATAGCCACAGAGGCTGATGTGAAATCCAGTTTTGAACAGCTTCAGAGAAAGAGTAGATGATAATCGTCTGATGTTGCAGCAACGGTCGCCTTTACAGCAGCTTTATCATCCTGTGACTTTCACTGAAATAGTCCTTATTTCACGGACCTGCTGTGTTTTGCAAAATGGCTGTCTGAGTATTAAATTCTACAAGGCAGCCTCACACACATACTGAAGTATCACTACTTAACATGATTGGATGCTAATTGAAATATGCTATGCAGTATGTTAGCCGACAGGCTCTGAGGAAGCACTGGCTTTATTTTCATACTTTTTTTTTTTTTGCACACAGCCACACTTCATTTTCAGAGAATGATGCGAGAGAGAGTGAGAGAGAGAGAGAGAGAGAGAGAGAAAGAGAAAGAGAAGAGATTTTTGCAGGCTGGCCAAACTGCAGTGCTGAATTGCTTAACCCTGGTTTGAAATTCCTGGCTGCAAAACAAATAGAAAATTAACAAGGACAGCTAATCAATACTTAAAGATATTAGGTAAAGAAATCTGTGACCTTGGAACATTGGCCACCAGAAGGGATATAAATGAGACTTTCAGGACAAACAAGGTCAAAATCTGATAGGATCTATAGAAAGTTGAAAATTAGAGGTGGGGGGAGTGGTTAGGGAAGGGATAACTCCATGCCCATCAAATCTTAAACATAGTATTCAATTGTATTAAATAAGTAAGAGCCTTAAAGAGCCCCTATCGTATAAAGGTTTTAGTAAGTGGTACGTATTCAGTGCCATTTGTCTTTTAAATGCAACAGTTGATGTATCAGGAGTCACTGGAGTAGTCAGGTAGCCGGCCAAGATTTTTAAATATGATATCTGTGGGGATAAATGTTTTTTATGCCATCAAAAAATTAATCGCTTTTCCATAAGATTTGGGAATAAGTGTTACAAACTTGATAGAGCACAGAATTGTCCACGTAAAGAAAATCTGAAGTTGAAATAAGTAATTTGAAATTAGAGATCCACATTTTTCTAGGATAATGAGCAGTGAGAATTCGATAGCTTTTATGTTATTTCTGTTTATTCTTGTATAGTGAATGAGGAGAAATCTGCAGTTAGGTATGCCTGCTGAATACAATATTGAGACAAGACCTCAAACAAAACAACAATTTTCACCCAATTTATTATTATTCTTTTCCTTACATTGAATATACAAATAAATAGAAAGAAGGAGGTCGCTTAGCCTGTATTTTATAAAACCTTGAATAAAAGATATAGAGACTTGGTCCATCTGCTGCTGCTTAAACTTTTTTACCCTGTACTTGGGTTAAGGGACCACGGAATAGATAGCATAAATATATTTTCAAGGAAAAAGGCATTTGTACCCTCGGTCACTAGAAATCAATTTTCCTTTGCTTTAGAACGCTTCTGTCCTGTAACCTACCCGCTGCTGTTTGAACTGTTCTTTGCCAATTTAATATGTGGGTTGCAGTTTTCTTTAGAGATGGCCAACTCAGAGGAGGTATGGTAAATCAGAAGCCTAATTTATTTCCTTGGAGGAAAAGAACCCACTGTGAGCTCTCTGTGAGTGAGACCTCTGATTCTCTGCAGGGCACACAATACTGTGGCTGCTTATTGAATAACCATGTCGTCAGGGAGCGCAAGGCAGCCACACACCCTTTTGTGGGCTAGTGGCCGGGGTCTTCCTAGGGTCCTTTCTCAAATCTATTGTTAGAGTGGGGAATGACAACTTAGATCATACAAAGACTAAATTCCAACATTTGTATCCATGTATGTGCATATGTAGGATAGCTATCAGATATCATTATACATGAATATAGAATATACATATATAAGATGAATCAATCCGTGTATGTGTATAGCTCAATCTTCCACCAGTTCTTTTGCCTTTATTTTTTTTTTTTTTTAGTATGACAGCTTTCTAAAGGATTCCTCCTACTCTTAACACCCTCTCTCGGAAAGAAACTGAAAGTTATGTGGGTTTCAAAGAAAGTTTTATGCAGATGCTACAGTTCCCTTTTCTAGGGCTTTCCCTTTCAAAGCTGTTTCTTGATGTTCTTTCCGGCTCCCTCATCCCACCTGTTTAAGGTGCCCTTTCAGATTCCAGGCTCCTGCTGAGAGCAGCAAGCCCTGTTCCTAGGCTGTCGGCCTTAAGACTCCAGGCATTTGACTCAGTTTAACACTGTTACTGACATTCAAGGTCTAGTCTGCTTCTGTTTACACCTAACCATCATTCTTTCAAAACTCAGCTTTGCCTCTCCCAAGTAATTCCTGTGTTTCACTCAGCCGGCTTGCTTTTTCACATGAAAGGACATGAAAATCTGTCAGCTGGATAAATACTCCGAAATTTAGAAGGATAGACAAACATGGTAAGCCCTGTGTGCGTTTCTGTCAAACACTTCTACTAAAGGATCGCCGTGTGCATGCTTTGGGGAGCAGAGATTGACACGATCTCTTGCTGGTAAACTTTTTAGTGAAGTGTGACACACGTGCAAAAAAGTGAGCACAGAAGGGTAAGTCTGAGTGTTCAAAGAGTCAACCTGTGTGTGTCTCCAACACCCAAATCAAGATGCCGGGCACAGTGGACACCCTTCTCCCTGCCAATCACCATTGCCCCTCTCCTTCCTCGGGGTACCCACTAATCCGACCTCTATAGATTGGTTTTTTCCTCCCCATTTCTAAATTTTATTCTCATAGACTCAGACAGCCTATACTCTTTTTTTGTCCTGATGGGCAGCTGGGTAGTTTCCAGTTTGGGCCTGTCGTAAATAGTGCTGTTGTAAACAGTTGTGGCATGCCATATTGTGAATGTTTATGTACATATTTCTGTTGGATACAAATCTAGGAATGGAATTGCCAACTCATAGAGGCCAGCACACATATACTCAGCCTGAGTAGTTGCTGGTAAACAGCTTTTCTAGAACATTCCATCATTGTGCTGTCCCACCAGGAGCACTCCCCCCTGGACTTAGCATGCTCTTTTGAATTTTAGCTCTGGCAGGTATGTAGACTTACCCTATTATGATTTTACTTCACATTTCCCTGGTGATGAGAGAAGTCAAGAACATTTGCCTATATTTGTGGGCCATTCACATGTCTTCTTTCATGAAGTAGCTGTTGCTTCTTCTTTTTCTATTAAGTTGTCTTTTAAAGTTTTTTTTTTTTTCCCAGAAAAAGAACTGGCAAGGAGAAAAACAACTGGTGATTAGCGTAACAAAATTATTAAAGACAAAATGACATGTGGTGAGACGTAATTAGAATGTGGAAGGAGGCTTAACCTGGGTCTGAATCTTTATGTTCCTGTTTATTTGCTGTGGGGTAGTGGAGAATTCTTTTTTCTCTTTTGGAACCTCAGTTTCCTCATCTGTATAATGGGATAACAGTAAAACTTGGAAGGTTTATTCTGAGAGTTAAAGTGAAATAATGTTTGTCTGCCCCTACATAAGGCCTGACTCATGGTTGTTTATCAAAACTAGTGCCCCCTAGGAGATCAGGTTAGGAGGGAGAGGACCTGGCTCTTGACTTGGCTGCTGCCTGTGTTCCTAAAAGTAAGAGTCGCTAAGTACTTGATAAACGCATTGGATGGTGGATAGCGACCTATTCTGCACAGTACTAGTCTCTTAGGAGATCATATGTTCCTTAGTGCATGATGACTTTTGAACTTTCAGAGGATTTAAATACAGTGAGGTCACCAAACAATACTACTTTTGTATACAGAGGGTGCCAAAAATTGTACACACATTTTAAGAAAGGAAAACACTGCATTAAATTTGCAAATACTTGAGTCACCTTTGACTTGTACAATTATAAGAGGTGCTCAAACATGACTTGTATTCATCTTTTGTTATTGGTACTATATGATGAGTGTTACAACTTTAATACAGTTTTTTCCCTTAAAATGTATACACATTTTTTGGTACCCTCTGGATATAGTGTAACTTAGACTTATCCCTCTAAATTCTGGTTGTTATGGTTACCTGACATACACTCACGTAGTCTTTCAAAGTCTACAGAATCCTTTTGTGCCCACTATTTCATTTGACATTAAAGCAGTCTTTCAGGGTAGGCTAAGCAAGTGATGGTATCACCATTTGATAAATAAGAAAACTTCACCCTCAAGGAAATTAACTTTATTGCCAAAGCCACAGAGTCTGATGGTGGTGGAGCTGAGATTCAAACTGAAACCTATTCTTATTCCGTGTGGGGTGTTCATCTTCTTTGGAATGTACTTCTGAGTTTAAATAATTGAATTATAATTAAACTTAATTAACATGAAAATTGTGTAGTGCTTCTGAGTATAAAAATCAATTATCATTGAACTTGAGAAGTGCTGAAGTGTCAGTTCATAGAGATTTCTGGTTGGTAGAGTGTAAGTAATATACTTTCCAAATTACAGTTTTTCACTCACTATTTTTATACGTTTTGCAGATGATCGGAATTGCCCTGCTAATTAAAATACTTGTATAAGCTATACACTTTTTATATGTACCTTGGGAAATATCTTTTCGTGGTAAATGATTTTTAAAGAGTTTTTGGTGGCACCAAATTCTTCACAAATAAAGGA